GTTGAAAAACTCAAGTGAGTCTCTCGTCTAAGATCTCACATACTTTATTGTATTAATTGATTTTTACAGCTAGTAATCATGTATACATACATATTGTTAAGATCGATAAGGATTAGTATTTTACCAACAAAGGATTAGGTTATAGTAAGAATTAGGGGTTAAAAGATAGATAAATCTAATTCTAATGCTTGTTTGTTGGGTCATTGCAAAAATGTCATTTTTAGTGTATAGATTTGCAAAAATGTTACTATAGATTGTCTATTTGCAAAAATGTCACTAATTATGAATTTTTAGAACCTAAATTTTAAAATTCTAAACCCTAAAAAATGTTTTAACCCGTAAACCCTCAAAACTAAACTCTAATACAATATAGTTAATCCAAACAAAAATGATATAATGTGTAAATAATTTTGAAAAAATGGCATTTTTGCAAAAATTTTGAAAATGTAGTATTTTTGAAAAATGACATTTGAAAAGTGGTGTTTCTCAAAATTTCTCTTATTTGTTTTTATTTCTCTTCAAGCGAGTAATTATCTAACTATACTCATTTAGCTACTTGAAATGGTTTTACGTTTTAGGTTGATTAAAAAATTTAATAAGACGGCTCCAATTTAATTAGAAGGAATTAGTCAGGTGGTAGAATCTGGATTATTTCTCAGTTTAAAAAAATAAAAATAATAATCTAGTGCTTTTTGGTTCGAGAGATATGTGTATTCTTTTGTGAGGAGAACCCAATAATAATAAAACAATTATCAGAAGCCCCTAGCTCCGGATAAGTACAGGTGGTGGTGGTGGCATATAAAACATTTGTGGAAGTGGTGGTGGTGCATGCAAAATCTGCGGTGTCGCACGTGTTATGTGCGATGGTGGTGGTGCACGTGGTATTTGTGGTGATGGCGCACGTTGCATCCACGGTGGCGGCGCACGCGTCTTCTCCGGTGGTGGCGGTGCATGCATCTTCCGCGGCGGCGGTGGTGCACCCTTCTTCCGCATCGGCGGTTGTGTCGGTGGTGCACGCGTCTGCTGCGGCGGTGGCGCACGTGTCCTCTGCGGCGGTGGTGGCACATGCATCTTCTGCGTCGGTGGTGGCGTACGCAACATCTCCAACGGTGGTGGTGGTGTGTGCGGCATCCACCATGTTGGTGGTGGTGTATGCGACATCCACCATGTTGGTGGTGGCGGCGACTTGTATTGAAGACTTCGTGAACTGTTTGATCGTCGAACTGGTAACATTTTTCTTCTCGTCAAACCTTCATAACAAAAAAAAAAGTTACTAATTTTTTATGTTGATTTTTACATGGATAAATAAAACATAAAATATATTACAAACAATAATTATTTAGTGTTATGTGTAACTTAGTTTAGATGCATTGTCAAATTGTTCAAGTGAGCGGAAGATTTATTCATTACTCTAACAGATGTATTTCTTTACTTACAAAAACCTTAGTGAATTAAAAATATTTATACGGAAGCCTCCAATATATTAGGACCGACCCCTCTTATAATATATAGAAGAACAACC